TACCAATCAGAAATATACATTGGATCTAAGCAGTTATGGAGGTCACACAAAACGATTTCATCACATCTGTCTCATCATATGCTCATCTTGGTATTGTGGTTGAATTAAAACTGAAATAGAAAAGTTATCCTTGTTTTTAAGAAGAGGAGCAATTACCTTCTCATTACATCGCTTCCATAGAACAGCCAGCAGAAAGACGGCAGCGATGGGTGGTGCTAAGTAATCAGTTATCTCCTGGATATAGATGAAGACTTGACCACCTTGTGTTTCCTTGACAACGGGCACCCAACAGATACCCACAACCACCATTACAGCAACAAAAAGTCTAAAAATGAAACATAGTAAAACTATATAAACCCTGCCTTATACAAATATCCCAATGAATACCTGAATGACCCAAATGGACAAAAAAAAAAAAGAAAGAATCTTGAAATTCGGTCCATGGAAGTAGGCTTAGTGAAATAAATTAGATATTTGCTAAAAACAGATTTTTTGGCAGATCAACATTTCATTAACACATTTCCACCTACACTTCTACACAACTGATATTAGCCATGAATTACATTGGCTGATTACAATCTTATGCTAATGATCTCAAATCAAATCAGAAAAAGGAACCATAATTAATGACTATAAAGGACGATGGTCATCACAACATATCAGTTAGCTTTGTGCCATGTGACTGTACAACATGTAATATTAAATGATTATCTTGCCCCTTTAACATACAAACATGGACAGCCATGATTCAAAACAAGTTTGATTCTCTAACCTTGTGTATGTGTGTGTGTGTGTGCAGTAGAAAGGTCATCTGGGTCAACATTAATAAACAGGGACTGGTAAATTCCAATGTTCCAAAAGAAGCAGGTGTTTAGAAATGTATGTCGAATGATTCGGCAATGGAAGAAAACAATTTGGTTTTTTTGCAAGATTGTTGCTATGGTGAATTTTTTCAACTGTCCATATATCAGTGTTGTTTAAACTAATTTGCATGTCTAAACAGTACCATGGGTTTCAAACTCAAAACTCTACTGTAGTTTGAAAACAAGGCTTAGATACAGATGGTGAAATAGCAGTAGTAAATACACACAATAATTGTATTGAGTTGTTTGTACAGTGAAGCTAACTTTCCTTGATCTTGTCAGAAATGTATGACCCCCAAATGAAGATTTACACTGGATATATTGACAAGACAAGGGTAAATAAAAACAGGGGCAGGTGATTTATACATTACAATCCAAGTAACCATGACATATGTTATTTTACTCACCGGCCAACTACCATGAGTTCTCGTACTGTGGCTCGTTTACGGATCCTCTTATAGACGTCAATAGTAAACAACGTACTAGCGCTATTAAAGATGGAATCCAAGTCACTCATCAAAGCTGCAATCATGACCGCCATCATCAAACCACGCGCAGCTGAGGAAGAATATTGAAACGTCTCCAGTGAGACATCAGTTTTTTGTGATTATACAACAAAATATTAAAAATCAAATATCTCAAATTTAATTGCTGAATGATAGTTTAATTTTGGAACACACAACATTTCTAGAATTGAAATTTTTAGAATTTTAAATTCTGGGAGTGTCAGCTAGATTTTAATAGATAAAAAAATTGCATCAGTTAAATTGGGGGAAAACTGAATATGGAAGCATATCAATTAACAGATATGAATGACATCAAACATATCACTGGAATAAGAATTCCACAGCTAGCAATCCTTCTTGCCCTCTACAGAATTAAAAAAAATAGGCCAATGGCCTGTTGTTCAACGGCTATTGTACAAAAGATTAGTGCTGTATATGCCACAACTTTTAAATGAAATATCGCCAAACAACCACACAAAGTTGTCAATGGAATAATAAACACATGTATGCCTAACACCAAAGCATTGGAAATAGTGGTTAGTTGAAATACCATTTTTAACTAAAAATGACAAAAGATATGGCCATGGGATGAACAAATCTAGTAGATGTCAACACAAGGTACATAAACACCAAGTATCGAAGCATTCAGGCTATCAGTTTTGGAGAAGAAGTCGAAAATAGAATTTTTGACCAAAAATGACCATTTTAAAATAGTCTGAACTGAAATCAGGTCGGGTCACACCAGCCGTTTTATTTTCATTATTTTCGCCTTAAGTTTCTACCTTTCTACTGTCGATGGGTCCCGAAACTATTTCATCAATTATTTTGAGGACGATGGTCGACAAAAACTGCGTGAAAACTATGACGCCTCGTGGCGTCACGATAACTTATTCAAGATGGCGGCAAACACGGGAATTTCGCTGTAGTTTTCCCACGGTTTTCGTCTTGAAATCAACCAATTTACGGTTTCACACCATCGTCGTGGCAGACGATATCCATGTTGTGTTATGTAAATTTGATTATCGGTATTCGAAAATTTGGGGCATTTTGAAAGGGTTTGTTGACCATGACCCTGAAAATAGCAATGCCCCATAATAAGGGGGGTGAGCGTTCAGTCAAGCACAGGCACTCAGACTGGTATGGTGAAAATGTTGTTTTCCTACCATTTGGCATGAGACCTAACACCAACTTGGGATACGCAATATTAGTACATCCGGCATAGGCTTGACAGACTTCATAACAAACGTCAGGATCAACACATGCAACTTGGTCTGGAAAAATAATGAAAATTGAATTATTTCAATTCATGCACAATAATATTGTATATTGGATGATTATATTCAAAGTATACTCTATTGATATCAATAATTATGCAGCAAAAATCAATTCTTATTTTATTTCATTAGAGGCAACATTTGTATTCTGTTAATTTTGGACTGACTGGAATAAATTTCCTATTGCCTGTAGGTCATGATCACAATATGAAAAAAAATATGATTTATTTTGCGAATGGTAACAAAACTTGACATTGGCATTCAAAATTAGGAAAGTAGCAAACTTTTTCAGTTTCACACTGACGAATACAAGATTATGATTATTAGCATCACTATTTTTTTTCCAAATCATTTTAAACTTTTTTTTTTAATTATGAATTAATGGTTAGTTTGAGCCAAAATATAACAATTTAGATTCAGTAATTAGAGGATATACCTGTATACAGGATTCGACTGATCATTCCCGGCATTACCATAATAAAAAGGGGTAGTATTTTAATAAACCCAGCCATAAGAGTAGCACCCTGTGCATGTGACAGACTCTTGGCAGCTAATGCACGCTGGACTATCACCTATAATTAAAACAATAACTTTTAGAAAACTGCTAAATAAATCATGCAACTAACTCATTTGAATATTTTATATAAAAATATATATATATTTACATACCTGGTCAGCACACCAATACCAAATAGATCCCGGAGTCTGGCCAAATAGGAATCCTGGCCACGGCATTTCTTCATCTGTAGGGTCCCTCAGCATAACAAATGCATTCGGTGAAGTCTCATGGCAAGTGGTGTTCGGCACAGTGAGATTTGTTTCAGCTCCCGGATACTTCCTTACTAAACCATCATAACCACCAATTTCAACAAAACCTTAATGAAATAATAAAATTAACTACCGGGTATGTCTTAATATTTTTCTGATTTTATAATCACATGTTGTCTCCTTACATTTGTAAAATACTGGAACTATGGATCAGCATAGTCAAACTATTCAATTGTCATCTCTAGGGAGTATTTTCTGTCCTTTTAGTATTACTGAGTTTTCCCAGCCAGCAGGTTTAAAATAGTTTTTATTTTGACTCTATTTTCCTGATTGCTTTGTTTGTCTTTCTCCATCGATTTTGAATTGCATTGCATTGTATTTTGTTGCATTCACTCTTATTTCTTATCCCCTATTATGTATTTATTCGTTTATTCAGTTATGTTTTATTTCCATTTATTTTTGCCAGTTGTTTGACCTTGATGAAGGCAATCTGTGAATTCTCGAAACGTCGGTAGAAATAAAATCTTGAAGATCAAGTTCTGGTTGAGCTACTATTTCTTATTACCACTATATTAATCACTTGGTGTGCTCCCATACTTCAATGAAGACTTCTAACGTTGTAGTTGAACAGACTATTTTTTTTACTACTTGATTTAGTCAATTAACTAGTATTAATGAAATTTGAAAGTAATTTTGGGCTTGAAGTAGACTTGCGGCCTCTTGTCTTTTTCAAATCTCTGCTCACACTTTGCATTTTTTATTTATTATGATAGAAAACATGGAGATCACAGAATTATGCGTACTCTATATTCTAGAAGTGAATTTCCAATAGCAGAAAACATGAACCAAAATTACATTTATTCTATGCTGATAGTTCATGTGCTACTATCGAAGAAAATATGATATTGTTCTTTCTTTATGGAAGATGTAAATACTTTTCACTGTCGTACATAATCTCTGCCCGCAAAAGAAAAATTGTACAATTGCTTCAGAAATATAGACAAAATAAGAAGTTTGACTGCTTTTATTTTTTATTCACTAAAATTAGGCAAGAAAATTTATAATAATCTTTAGTTTTATACATATTTATATACACTGTTTTTTTTCAATTCTACTACGAATGAAAGAAACATAATAACTGAGGTGCATGCACACTATCAATAGAACATTTAAGCATCATTCAGAGCTGAGCTGGTATGGCATAACTTACCAATAATCATAAGTGCAATAGCTCCCGATACCATCAGCGCAGCTTGTAATGTATCAGTGTAGATAACGGCAGCAAGTCCACCTAGTAAAAAATTCACATTAGTTGCATACATTTTCTTAGGTTTTGACAAAATACAAACTATATACTACTATATTGTCACATTTAGCAATTCTACACATAATTCTTATTCAGTGCCAAAGAAAATGGTTCTTGTGTAAGCATTTCAATGTTGGAAGAAATTGAAATTCTGAATAAAAATGCCCTGATACAAAACTATATTGGAAGAGAAGTTGACTCTATGCGACATTGCGTGTCTAAGCAGGAATTACACAAACCATGTATGGCTATTCTGCATAAAGGGACTGTTTGTTACACACGGTTTAATATGAATTTAATATGTGCTTTTGTTTTTACAAACAGGCTTCCTTGCCATATTCAGCCTTCCATAGCATTTGAATACAAGTATTATTCAGACTCAAAACAAATGGCAAGAACATCTACCCAGGTACTTTGGAAACACTCATGAAATGGGGTTATGAAATGATGAAACATGAGTACATGATAAAACTTTAATAGTATAGAATACAATATGATATCCCGCAATATTTTCTTGTAGCTTGACGTCGGCAGATACAAGCGATTAACGCTAGAATTTGGTATCAATCCAAGCCTCAGGTGAGTGTATACTGATGTCAACCTAAGAGAAAATATTATGGGATATATATTCATCACATGCGCATTTCCACAACATGACAGTGAAACGATAGAGTATTGACAGTGTTAATTAACTTTTGCTGAAATAACACTCAATACATTTATATATATGCGCACATTTTATGCTGAGTTTGTTGACGCCATGGTGTTCTATTTCACACGAACGCCATATGTACACTGTATGCGATTCTGTTCTTTTGTGTTGTTTGCTCAAATGAGTTTTTACAATTTTTGAAAAAAATTCCGAAAACACTCACACAAGTTTGCCAAAATGAACTGCTGTTACCACAATCCATAGTTATCGGGCTTATATGCAACAATGTTTCGGCAGCGTGTACAATAAATAACGTTTGGCAGTATATGACGTAACACTGCGGTGATATGCAAGTGATTATAAAA